TTTAAATAGGAAAAATGTCGAAACTCTTTGGTCATTTTTTTTTTTTTAGAAATGCTAATGGTCTTGTCCACTTCAATGATGTATGCTAAGCTATGCTAAAAGTGGTACCGCCAGAACCGGAGATCGGCTGAATGGATTCAAAAACGGTAAAACTCAACAGTTTACCTCTGGGGAAGTTGTAAAATGAGCCTATTTCCAAAAAAAAAGTGGAGTATCCCTTTAAGTTGTTTAAGTTAAGTGCCATTCGTACAAAACACATATTTCATCTGCACTATTTTTTGATGAACAGTGTTTGTATGTATGAGTCAGACTGATGTCTTTGGTCAATGTGTTGCGTCTTGCTGTTTTTTCAGCGTCTCACTCCATGAGTTGTAGTTTAAGACTCAGTGTCAAGTTTAAATGTATTCTCAAGACCTGTGCTTTGAGTTTTCTTCTGTGCTTTGTGTTTTTGTCTTTTTCTTCTGGCTCTGTTAAGCTGCAAGAAGACGTCACAGATATGAACAGCAAAGGTCATTAAAAGTTGTTTGTTCGCCATGTTAACCATGAATGTAAGTAACTGAGCTAAATAAATCTGATTGGTGGACGGACGTTTGCTGTAATCACTCACTAAGTCGATAGTTTCTTATAGTGAATGCTGCGTAGTGCACTATATAGAGGTTCTGTCAAAATGTTATTAGCTGCAGTCTATTTGAAATGTTTAATTAATCTGAATTATTTCAAAAACTTGGTTTGAATGATTCAATGACTCGCTCATAAAGACTTCACTTGTTTTATTACTGGATAAATTAGAATTTTTTAACAAATCTCTTGAACGATTCAATAACTAAATTAACAGTCACTAGTCGTCACCTACTGGTATAACGATGTCATTGATACAAACAATCGTTATTTGAAATGCCAAGTTACTTTCTCGAGAAGATTTACTCTTTTGATCTCTACCATAGACATCAGTTTTTATCAGAACTATAATCTTTTATCCTAGTACTTCTGTAATAATGTGAATATTTGTAACAAAATAACGAAACTGTGTGAAAGGGATGTTTGGAGAAGCTTGACAACTGCTCTCTCTGGATCGGCGGCAGTGCAAACACAGGTCTGAATGTTCCGGTGTGATTTTGTCAAAGGTTTTATAGACATTTAGGAAATAGGTCGCGTGGGTGTTTGAAAAGAGATTGCGATCTTTTAACGATTGATCATGCAGCTCTGGTAGCTTGTTGTAGCAGTACTTTATATTGTTACACCCTGTTTTTTGTAGCCTGCTTTCTTTTCGGACAGGAGGTGATTTTACTGTTTTACTGGTACATCTTAATATTAAATACCGTTTTGGAGACTGAAAAAAACCCCAGTTAAAGCTGGTTGGCTGGTCTTAGCTGGTCTCCCAGTCTGGTCAGGTTGGACTGTTGGCTGCTTTTAGTGGGGTTTTGGGCATTTTGGTCAGACTGGGAGTCCAGTTACTATAAGACCAGCCAACCAGCTCAGACTGATTTTCAGCAAGGTAATCAGTTAGCACTAAGCTAGCAGGCAAGCTTAGTGTTAGCTAACACAAAAAAAGGGAATTGGTTTATTTTCAAGTAGGGGTGGGCGATATGAGCAAAAATTCATATCACGATATATTTTCACTGTCCGGACGATATCGATATTATATCGCGATATGAGAAAAAAAAATTGGAATCACATTTTAGTACACCTTAGTTAAATTACAGGCAAAATATGTATTTTAACAGTTGATAACTAGAAACAGGTGAGGCATTTCATTGGACATAGACCTGAAATGTTTTTTTTTTTTTTTTTTGCCATTTTTTTTTCTCAAAAAGTGCAAACGTGCAACATGAGGTAGGCCTGAATGCACTTGTTATGTCTTTCCACTTTTTGCTCGTCTTGTCATAATGAGAACCGGCAGCAAATGAAGACTTCATTGATTTCTGAGTGAGAGCCGTCTTCGGGTGTGCTCTGTCTCCGGGAATATCTGTTGTTATAGTTTTGCTTTTTTAAATTAGTTTTTATTTTAATATCGTTTTCAATTTTGCTTTAAATTTCAGTTTAGTTTTAGCTAGTTTCATTAATGGTTTTGTTCGTTTTTATTTAGTTTTATTTTGCAAACACATTTCTATATAGTTTTTATTTTATTTACTTTCAGTTTTAGTAATTATAGTTTAGCTTTAGTAGAGCGAGCAGAACACTTCCAGTGTAGACCAAAGCGAGACGTTTAATTTAAGTTTAATGTTTGCACAGATTACAGTTAACTCTTATGCAGACATCTTAATAATAAAAATAAAATAATGGTTTGAGATTGAACAAAGCACCAAATAAATAGAACTTAAAAGTATACAAGAAAAAAACAATGAAAATTTTCATACAAACTAATTCATTAGTGTAAGGAGACAGAATTAGGGGTGTCCCCGACTAAGGATTTTCATAGTCGAATCAGATTCGTCAGGTCCTGCTTATAGTCGACTAATAGTCGAATCATGTGTGTGGTGTTGGGGAGGGGGCGGGGCTTTAACATTTTAAAGCCGCGATGTACAGAACATCACACAAAGATAGAAGAAAATGTATAAAAACATTTTGGATCAATAAAACTAAGAAATAACATAAATAACTAAGGCCACACTGCAGATAGGATTTGCATTTCACATGCAAATCAAATTAAATTGGCTGAATTGCCTGTACGAGCATGCTCTATAGGCCTACAGCGCAACATCGATGCACTGAAAAATAATCAACAATTAAGAACATAATATAGGCTACTTTTATAATAAATAAAAATACAAAACGAAATAAGTCAGAATCAAATCACAAGAAGCAGAACAAATGTGTGCAAAATGCCTAAAGTGCAGGGGAACAAATATTCAAAACACAAGTCACAAATAGTTCAATTAGATCACCCTGAGTGATCAATTAATAAAATAAAAATAAAGAAATTATTAAAATAACGAAAGTATGGCCAGGATTGTCAACTTTGTATTTTTAACTGCAGAAACAACAATAAACGCTAAACTAGAGCGGCAGTCTTTTTAGCTATAACGTGTTCACAGTATCCAAAAATCAAATTAGAACCGGCTGAAATGTTTTGAAATCACTTATCCATACCTGATCGAAAAAACTAAATCCAGTCTTTCACTCGGCCTGTGTCCGTTTGAGTCTTTTCAAATTGTGTGCGCGGATAATATACATTCTAAAACGCTTAACGTGAAAAACGCTTAACGGCTTTGTCCTAAAACTGTTATATTAAAAGATCAAATTCTGTACACACCTTATATTAATAAAGCATACTATATAGCTTACAGAAAAGCAGATGAGCCCAGAATATGAACGCAACGCGTTTTATTATAACTTAGGCTACGTTAAGCATTTTCCTCCCATAGAAAACCGTTAAAGAAAAAGCTTTACGTGACTTTCAATAGGAGAAACGCGTTGCGTTCATATTCTGGGTTCATCTGCTTATCTGCACATAGAATGGTTTCTTAAGGTGTGTAGCCTACTGTGTACATACATTAAGCACGTAAAAGTGCCATTTAAGCGTTTTAAAAGCTTTTTTTCACGTTAAGCGTTTTAGAACGTCCCGAGGAAAACCAACCTGTTAACGTTGGCCGGCAGAAGTGCTTTCCTGATGCTAAATCCAGCCTTGGAGTATATCCTTTCTGATGGTGTGCATCTTTAGATTGTCTTATCCCAGACATTTTTAAAGATTTAAATCCCTGCCGACAAGACGCTCCTCTGTCGGTCACGGATATCGAAAGTGAAACTTAAATCTGTCACGGGGTGTTTGGATTTATTCACCCTGCGCGCACGTTAAAATATTTATTAAAAGCTTCTTTCTTTGCACATTTTTATCGACAGCATTATCATAATAGGCTGTATATTAACATATTGACAGAAAACCAGTAGTTCTATGTGAAATCAGACATTGAGCACACTCATATAGCCAAAATGACATAATCCTCGTTTAATAACACATCTGCGAAGATTCGACCGTGAGATTGGTAGTCGAATCAGGCTCCTCCTATCGAAGCATCGAATCTTCGACTATTCGGGGTCACCCCTAGACAGAATAAAGGCCTACAGTTTGTACAGTATAAAACCCATTACGTCTATGGAGAGTCCCCACAAAGATAGTGGACCAGTGTGTGTATGCGCGCGCTTATGTGTGTGTCGTGTGTATGCGCGCGCTTATGTGTGTGTCGTGTGTATGCGCGCGCTTATGTGTGTGTCGTGTCCCTGTTATTCATAGCCTAACGTTACATTGCGGGGAAATGTCTCCACGTGGATAATATTATTAGCAGTAAATGTTTTGTAAAAACAAAGATAATAATAGCAGCTTTCAACCTTCATGAAAACAGGACATCTCAAACATACAGTAGCCTAGAACTTTAACGTTTGTTTGTGCTTGACGAGCTTGTTTTGGTGTTGCACCCGCGTCTCGCAAATGAAACGGCATTCTGAAAATGCTGCACTCCAGTTAAAAGTCAAACTTGCGTCTCATTACCTTGTTATTTCCCATTCCACCGCAAAAGATGCATCCTTTATGAACAGCCGCTTAGCACTAGCGATGTGTTCTACGTTACGGTCCTTCATTGAACGCGTCACGGGACAGCGGTTAATCGCCTCAGCAACTTCACGCGTATGAAGCGCCAAATCAGCCATTTCCTTAAACAGCGTATTCGATTCTGTATCGTCATTAGTGTTAACAGTTGTGAAGAGTTGGCTACCAAATTGAACAAAACAATATAACTGCAAAATTTGAATTTATGAATACGGTATCCTCGGTATCGCAAAATCCATATCATGGCACAACATAATACCGGTATTCACGTTCATACCGGTATAGCGCCCACCCCTATTTTCAAGACATTAATGTGCATGTTTCCATTCTGTCCTTGATTCGAAGTTAGTGTGATTTAGAGTACCCATAAAAAGTTATTTCCCTTCTTTCTAATCATTGATTCCTGATGTATAACCTTGTCTAAAATGCATTATTTTTTTTTCTCCTCTTGCTGCAGGACTGTTTCATCGTGCCATAATCCAGAGCGGCTCAGCTTTGTCCAGCTGGGCCGTCAACTACCAGCCGGTTAAGTACACAAGGCTGCTGGCAGAGAAAGTGGGCTGTAATGTGTTGGACACTTTGGACATGGTAGATTGCTTGAGAAAGAAGACAGCTCGCGAACTGGTGGAACAAGACATCCAGCCGGCGAGATACCACGTAGCCTTCGGCCCAGTCATCGACGGTGATGTCATTCCCGATGACCCTGAGATCCTGATGGAGCAGGGCGAGTTTCTCAACTATGACATCATGCTGGGTGTCAACCAGGGTGAGGGTCTGCGCTTTGTGGAGAACGTTGTGGACTCTGAAGACGGCGTCTCGGGCAACGATTTCGACTTTTCTGTCTCAGACTTTGTGGACAGTCTGTATGGTTACCCAGAGGGAAAGGATACTCTACGAGAAACCATTAAGTTCATGTACACGGACTGGGCGGACAGAGACAACCCTGAGACGCGGCGCAAGACTCTGGTGGCGCTGTTTACTGATCATCAGTGGGTGGAGCCCTCAGTGGTGACGGCAGATCTTCACGCCCGGTACGGGTCACCCACCTACTTCTACGCCTTCTACCACCACTGTCAGAGCCTGATGAAGCCCGCCTGGTCCGACGCGGCCCACGGAGACGAGGTGCCCTACGTCTTCGGTATACCCATGATTGGCCCGACCGACCTCTTCCCCTGCAACTTCTCCAAAAATGATGTCATGCTCAGTGCTGTTGTCATGACCTACTGGACAAACTTTGCCAAAACTGGGTAAGTGCGTACCTTGCAACATGCACAGTCTGGGGTAAACTCAAGAACCCATGTTATGCTCATATACAAGTTCATACTTTTATTTTTGGGGTGTGCTAGAATACATTTACATGATTTAAAGTTTAAGACATTATTTTTCTCATACTGTACATTTCTGCAGCAGCCCTTTTCACTCTCTGCGTTAGTTCCTGTCTCATTAAAGCCCAGCCTTTCAGAAAAGCCCAGTCTGCTCTGATTGGTCAGCTGGCTCAGTCTGTTGTGATTGGTCAACTGCTTAGAACGTAAAAGCCCTCACCATAATCATGTTTCAGCTCCCAAGGCTTCATGAGCTGCTGTAAACAGTATTAAATGTATGGCAACTATGGTGTCATTATTGGAAGTCCATACAATGTTGTTTGCTCTTGCAGCAAAAAACAGCGTCCTCTCGACATAGCAAAATGACTTTACCAGCTTTTCATGAGGGCGGGTCAAAGTAGCCAGTGGGCGGGCATTATGTAAATGTCACATGGTGAAATAGCAAAGTCACAGTAATAACGACAATACTACAAACTAGATATTTCAGGCAGGTGTTTTAATACCAGAATGCCAATAATCGGCTGTTAAATCAGAATTTCTTTTTTTATATATATTTATGTACCACTAATTTGCAATTGAAAGAAGATACATTGTAGGTATCACTCATTAAGTACAGTGGTGCTTGAAAGTTTGTGAACCCCTTGCAGAATCTGAGAAAATTTGAACAAAATAAGAGGGATAATACAAAATGCATGTTATTTTTTATTTAGCACTTTCCTTTGTTTTTTGTGATGGTTGTTCTTGAATTATCTATTAAAAAAGGTTCAAACATTGGCTGATGCTCGAGAAGGAAACACAATGCAATTAGAGCGGGGGGGGGGCGGGGCGGGGCGGGGGGGGGGAGGGGGGGGTGAAAACTTTTGAACAGGAGGAATATGTCAAAATTTTTCTTATTTTGTTTAAATATCAGTTTGTTTGTTTTTTTCATTTAGTACTGCCCTTCGGAAGTGACAGAATATACTTACATGTTTCCCGGAAGACAAATTAAGTACAATTTACCTTGATCTTCAAATTAAAAAAAAGTTTTCATCCCCCGGCCCTTAATGCATCGTGTTTCCTTCTGGAGCATCAGTGCATGTTTGAACCTTTTTTTAATAGTTGTGTTTGAGTCCCTCAATTGTCCTCTGTGTGAAAAGTTGGATCTCAAAATCATACAGTCACTGCTGGAAAGGGGTTAAATATGCTAAATATGCTGTAAAACTGAAGAATTAGCGGGACCTGGAGGATTTTCCTGAAGAACATTGGGCAGTTTAACTGATCAGGTCAAACAAAGGACTCAAGAACAACCATCACAACAACAACAACAAAAAAGTTGTGGATCATCCAGTTAATGACACACAGTATTAATAATCAAGTAAACCTTTGAATGAGGACATTTTTATAAATTCAGCTTTTTTTGTCTTATATTTTATTCAGGACAATGCTAAATAAAAAAAATAACATGCGTTTTGTATGATCCCTCTTATTTAGTTAAAATTATTCACATTTTCACAGATTCTGCAAGGGGTTCACAAACTTTGAAGCACCACTATATGTCTTTTGTTTTTTGCCTTGAGTAAAATCTGTTACTGAGTTGCATTGTTTACAGCATACTGTATGAATGGGGCTTGAGACCCCGTGTAGAGAGAATTATCAGTGGAACTTATCGCATTTCTGCCCCTCAGCAACATCGATCAAAACCCCTCTCTTGAGTTGATCACTGCCGCCCCAGGTGAGCGCTTCCCCAACAACGCCTCCTCCCTCGCTCCCCCTCTCCATCCTGCTCAATCCTGCCCGGAGCACAAAGCATTATAGATCTGTATGAGGAGTGCTTGTAATCAGCTCTAACAACACAAATCTAATTTGACAACTGCTGTTACTGAGAAAAATTGATTGGTCATGCTGCTGCTTCTCCAATTTTACCAGTCACAATAAAAATGACACCCCTTGGCGTTTATAAATCTTTCTTTAACTGTTAAGTGCACACTAGGTGTAGCCAAAAATAACATACACAAAATGGAAATGCTAATGGCGGAGTACCGCAGGCTATTTTTTTTGCACTGAATGCTCAAGTCAACATTCTGCAAGCATATCAGAGAACATTTCAGAACAACATCTGTCCAGAAAATGTCAAATTAGCTCAAGGGCATGGGACATTTGTACGCTAAACTCTGGTTTTCCCCCCATACGGTACTATCTTTCTTAGTTAGACTGCCAGATTTTCTCTGTTTTCTCAGTAAAAACAGAAAGAACTGAAATTGTTTGACTAGTGCCATTTGTTGATTCTTTGTTGATGTATTTCCTATTAGTGCTGGGTGGATTTTAATTTATGCTAATTTTAAATCAATATTGTTCCTTAAATCCCAAAATGTATCTTTTAGTCTATGCCGTTTAAGTTGATGCATGAACAAAACACGTCATCAAAAAGTGCAATTAGCTTTGTGCTTTGTTCCATTCGTTTTGAAACAGTCTCAGCTTTCAAATTCTCAATTTTATCACACAATTCAAATGTTGTAAATGTGGTTTTGGTGCTCTTTAATGTGTGCTGACAGATGGCTGTAACACGTGAACTGATCATCTTTTACTCTTTACAACTAGTTAAGGCACCAAATAAACATGAATGAAAATCAGAAGGTATACAGTACAACTTACTGAAACGAATCATGTCTCGTGTAACCACGTCAATAAAACAGCTTGTGAACAATGTCACATAATGTTACATTTACCTTAGGAAAAGCCATTCAATGTCCAAACTCCAAAGCTTGTTGGTTAGCTAGAAAAATAACTCTATGTTGGAGCACTTTGCTAAATATAGTATACTTTATTTATATTTTTTACTGTTAGCCATGTGTTATTTAATGCATGTTTGAATGAATCTGTCATGAAAACAAACACATTTTTATCATATCCACCTATTAAATGTGAAAAAAATTGTTTCCTCTGGCATGCATTATTCCTGATCGAATCATGAAATTGGCAAAACCCAGCATTATATCCTATAATGAACAGGAAAAAGGCTCGTTTTTTTTTTTTTTTAACTAGCCAAGAGTTAATGCCATGGCCCGATCAAATCACACTTGACTTGTGCCATGGATGAAAATAATAAAGAAACCAAACTTCTTTTGCAACCACTTGATGGTTGGAAAAGTAAATCGAGCACAACTGAAGACAGACCAACCACCACTAGCTACTTCCTACTGATTTTGGAAAACAGATGGTGTTTTCAATTTAGGGAACGGGAACATTCTCCTTCTAGAGAACATTTTATTGGATAAAAACAACAAAAATAAACACAAGCCTGCAAGATGAGTCATCACTATTTTGGTCTGTTTTGTCATAAGAGAAAGACTATAATTTGAAAATGTATATACCTGTTTATGTGCAGTATTAGTGCATTGTCCATATCGATGACCTCAAAGCTAATTTCCGATGCACACAATTTCCAGATTTCATTTTTACAATGTCTTGAACATATTTTAACGTGAAGACAAAACCATGCCCTATCAAGCCTTAAAAACACACTGTCCATAAATAATCACTCACAGTAGAACAGCCAGCCCATTTTAAAAGCATCCTCTCAGAAATACTATTATGTTGAGATTATTTATTACATGTCAAATAGTGTATCCTCTTGCAGTCATTCATCTAATGGCTCTCAACAGGACTGGCATTATAGAGTCAGTTTCAGGCCGTACTGATGTGCTGAGTTTCGGATATTACAGCGCATAGAGTTGCTCCATTTGTGTGGCGGATTATATAGGATACTGCTTAGCAGAACAAAGGATTAGATGCAAGGATAATAAACCTCTCAATCACATGAAATATGCACGAATCATTACTTCCATCTTAACTAGCAAACTCTCTGGTTTAGATCTGAGGATACAGCCACAAATGTGCACTACAGCATGTGAAGTGTGCTTACAGCTTCTCCATGTGATGACCTAGATAGCGTTCCCTGCCATCGCTCTAAATTGGACACTTGTACCTGCGCTGGATGCATACGGTGAATATTGAACCTAGAGTGGACTGGGTGAACATTACATTAAGCTTGTGCTGTTTAATGTCAACTGTTGTATCATTCCCCAAAGCTAAACTCTTCTTTCCGCTTCATGGTGCTTACAAGCAGTGTTTTCCCCCCTGCAGTTGGAATACAACATAAAAACAACCATTAACTGTGAAATCCGTGTAGAAAGGTATGTTTGACTGAAGACTAGGGTAAGTGAAGTGACAAAGTAACATGTTTCTTTATTGGATGCCATGCCTGAGTATGAGCCCCTCATTTACTTCATCAATATGTGTTTGGGTCAATCTACGTGGTCAACTCTATTGGCTAATAGAAAAAAATACACATTTAAATTATTAATAAAACTTCAGTTGAGCCTGAAAAACATTTGTTCAGGAATTTAATGTGTAGCATTTCAGCATACAAAAAAGGTTCCAAAAAGGAATTTTCGTAGCGTTTCCATAGAACCTTCTAGTGAAAAGTTCTTAAAAGAACCCTTTTGGATGAACATTTTAAAAGTCTAAAGAACCTGTTTCCAATATAAAGAACCTTTTGTAGAAAGGAATTGTTCCATGGATGTTAAAGGTTCTTCATAGAAACCGATGGATGCCAATAAAGGACCTTTATTATTAAGACTGTGAGTCTGACAGCTCTACATATTCCAACAAGTCTTTTTGAAGAAAAGTCCACATGGAACAATTATTAAAAATCATTAGGCTCTGAAATAAATGGAAGAATAACGGTAAAATGCTTCCAAACGTAGTACCATTAAATTGAATTCGAATCTCCAAGGCTTTTGAGACATTTTCTCAGCTGGTTTTTAACAGTAAATTAGCACCCTAATTAATTTCTCAAGTGTTAACCAGTGGCCATCGGTCCTGCAGAAGAACAAAAGCATCCGAGAACCTTCTTCACACTTGATAAGTGAATTGTTGGCGCATAT